TCTGGTTGCTTGATTTAAGTTAGAGAAAACCTCTGGAAACAGCTTTCCTGAAGCAGCCAGGCTCTCACAAAGCTGAAGCTATCATCTGATAAGAAAGAAGGGATGGAGTGATAAGACTACACATAGGAGACAACTTACTTCAGGTACTGCTGAAATTACATTTCCCCTGCATTTTTAATTCAGATTTCTACGGTGAAAGGAAGTATCATCCATCAAGGAACAAAGGCTTCACCTTTTTTCAGCGTCTCTTACTCATCTACCCTCACCATCTCTTGTAGCCTGGATTCCCAGCAGAAAGCTATTCTGCATTTTCATGGCCTTTTCCTGGCTGTTACACTGCTAGGCCTTGTCTTTGTGCGAATTAAAGTGCTTCTTTTGTCATTTTTCCTTTGCCCTCTTGTTGAAATAATATACATTCCACTTATTCTCTCCTCAGCTCTGTTTCTAATGTAATATGAACAGACCTTTGGTTAAAGCAGATGTCTGTGGTTAGATGACAACTTTAGTTTCTTGCTATCTGATGTGTTTTGTCATTCTGAATAAACGTTTAGCTACTCACATATAACGCTGTCAGTGGGGAAGTTACGCGAGATGCAATTACATAGGGTTTGAGTCCTTGGCCTGAAGCAGGAAGAAATGGGGACCTGAAGTTGTCTCTCACATTTAAGCACTTGGTTAATAGATATTCTGCATTAGAGCTCTTTCCTGAGAATATTTTCCAAACAGAACTTTTGTTTAACCCTATTTATTACAAGAAAAACATCTGATGTCTACAAATTCAGAACTTCCTATGGAATATGACAGAAAGATTTTGTGGAATAATTCAGAACTGGTTCTACAGGTAAGGTATTTTCAGTGGGGTGCCGAGATAGCCAGCGGGTCCTTTGGATACTTCTGCTTCCAGAAAAGGCTCTACAGAAGAAGGATTTATTCCACAAAATGAAGGGCTAGCATGGAAAAGCAAAGTTCATGGGCATCTGCAGAAGCCTAGTACATCTAAAGCCACAGCTCCACCACATTGGCAGGCATGTGAGTTGAATAAATATGATACTAGCCTGCTGCTGCTCAGCAGAACTTCTTGGCATAGGAATATCAGTCAGGAGATCTAGTGTCTTCTCTATCTGATGCTTGTCATTAGGCAGGACACACACACACAGAGATTACTTCTTTTTTCCCCATTTCAGAACTGCCAGGATAGATGTGAAGGTCAAAGGAATGACATGGCAGTGGTGCAGCATGCTTCCGCTCAGTTTGCACACATTAAAAGGCTTATTCCATAGGGATGGCGAAAAAAAGGAGATGAAAATTATGTCTTTTTTCTTCCTACCAAGTTCCAGGAGCTATGTTTTTGCTGCAGCTGAGACAACTTTAGACAAAGGTGGTGATAAGCAGAAAGAGGGCAGTAGAAACAGTAGGACAAGACAAGATTAACCTGCAGAGAATGGATGAAGAAATCAGAAGAGAAGGTCACAAAGCAGGAAAAAAGAAAGAAAAAACAAAAGCAGAGGGAAATAACACAAATAATCCAAAGATAATGGCAAAAATAAAGAGGAGAGAAAAATATTCATCAGACATAGACTAGAAGGCACCCATATATGTTATCAGTTGCAGCCTCCAAATACTACAGGCAAAAATGGAATAAATATTAAGGCAAGAAACATATATAACCTCTGTTTCAATTCCCATTCCAATTCTAAGTCAGAAAACACTGCAACCTTCCAACACTTGATGCAAAAGAGAAAATGCTGCAGTGACGATAAGTCCAACCAAGACAGTGGGATGGATGAAGGGCCTTGGGAAAAACTTAGACTCATGCAATTGCATACAGATGGGCACTCTCAGATACTTCTTGAGAGTGGATTATTCTCCACATAGCTATAGAGGAAAACCACGTCAACAGTCTTCCTAAACATTTCTTGCTCTTCAGTCCAGGAGAAAATTCTTTCCTGATCCCACACTCAATCAATGCTTTTAATTCAAGACACATCAGTCAGGCAGCACTACGAGGAGCACCAGCATAACCCAGCTACTATCCTGTATTTAGCTCTGACCAATTTCTTGTTTGGGCAATTTAATGCTTCAAAGGAAGATCAATTTGCCCTCTCCCCACTCCTCATTCTTCCCACCCTTACTTACACATCCAAGAGAATAAAGAATAAGGAAATTAAGGGACTTCCTTCTTTACCCCAGTAGTGGTCAGTGGGAGCTCTGAAGCATGAAGTTAATTAATTAAAATATAAATGCAATGTAATTCTTTCTATGAACTCGGCAAGCTCTACTTTTTAATTATTTAAGTTCCTTGCCCTTGTTACCCTGTATGGAAAGCCAAAACTTTATTTCTTTGAAGTTTAGAAGCCTTCTGATTTCCAAGCTAATTTATACTCATCTGATCTTTTAGCACTGCTTTTTTTTCAGCGGAACCAATTCTCCATCCTGGTATTTATGAGAAGTGTATTTATAAAGCAAAACTGTATTCCATCTCATCCTTATCTTGATAGCCTAACTGAGCCTCCCACATACACTTTTTAAATGTCTACCACTTCACCTAATCATTCTCACAACTTTTCACTCTACATCCCTTCTTTTTTGACCACAAGTGACCCAAATTGACTACAGTACTTTAAGTGAGGCCTCCTCAGTCCTTCATAGCAGCGTACTACTAAAGTACTTCCCTTTCTGAAAATACCCTTGCCTGATACATCCCAGAATTGCATTAATCCTTTTCAAGGCAATGTCATATTCCAGCAAAAAGGCAAAGAAAATGTGAAGCAGAAAAGGGAGATGTTGAACAGAGAAATGAAAGCATCCTGAGGAGCAACAGAGAATTCTGGAGGGAGGAAGAAAAAAAACACCCAGCTGCCCTGCAAACATAAAGACATAATCAGCTTTGTAGAGAAGGTAATTCAAAGGAATAATGGGAAGTCAGAAAGCTGAGGCAAGGAACATCTGTACAAAATCACAGTGAGCTGGCTTTGCACGAGCTCTCAGCTTCATGGCAAGTCTCCGGCACTGCTTGCTAATGTCAGCGTTGTGGCAAAAAACAGGGCTGACAATGTCATGCTGGGGACAGGGGGAAACTGAGTGCAAAGGAAGCAGGGTGCATGAATCTGTCCCATGATTCCTGAACAGGCCCTTTGCACCATTACTGGTAGGTTGTCTCTCCAGGGTGCAGTGCTTTTTGCTTAGGAATTGAAGAATTAGCACTCCTTACATGCTTGTGTGTGCATCAAACACATGCACGTGTTTGACATACAAAACCCGCGGTGTCTTTCTTGAGCCCTAAAATTTTAAGGCTAATATATCTTAATAAAAATATTTCACTGTCCCATAGACATGCAAATATTGTCCTTTAACCTGTGAAAGAATATAATGGAAGATCTCAGAGTGCTTGAAGAATATTAATGAGAAGTTACAATAATCCCCAGGCAGTGGATGCTTATGTATCTTCTGTATATTCCAAAAGGAGACAATGTAAGCCCTGTACTAAGTTGCCTCGCACTTTCCTTAGCCTTTTTTTGTTATTATTTTGAAGAAAGGCTTCAACACTGAACTTTCAAGCAAAAGATGGAGAGAGGGTCGGGAGAAAGCTCTACTTTTTGCACTTCTACAGTAAAGTTGATGGGGTTTGCCCTGTTGACAGACAAATAAGTAAATAAAATCCCCAACATTTTCTCCTAGGTCGTCTGTAGACCTGCACCACTGTTTCTGCTTGTGGAGAGAGAAACTCAACTTGCAGCAGACACGTGATATGTCAATTCGTTTCCATTGTATTGGCAAGAAGCAACACACGAGACAGATTTATCAAGCTATCTGATAGTCTAAGAGCCAAAATTTCTTCTTCCAGCTCCCTCCTCTCCTCTCTCTGCTTTCCTCCATACACACACATGCACAAAAAAAGGCAAAATCTGCCACTCCTGCAAGCATAACACTGTAAAGTTCTGCAGTTTTATTGTGGGTGTTTATCATAAAGCATCCTTATCTGTTATCTGCTTATAGAGGAGGCTTTGGTATGTTATTTTAGAGTAATAGCCGAGAGCGAGTTAAATTGCATTAACCTTTAAAGCTGGCATTAATGGGTAGCTGTGTCAGGAGACTATATTACTGTACAATTTCCTTTTCTTATTCTTATGCTGGCTCTGTGGTTAGAGTATTTTTTGTTGTTAGTGCCAGCTTTACATCACAGGCTTTGAGCTCTGAGCACAGTGCTCTAGGGAAGCACTCAGCTGGAAGAAATGTAGGACTAACTTTTCCTCAGTACTGACAGACAACAGGAGTGAAGGCAGGTTCTTGACACAAAAGCAATGCATCTTGTCCCTTGGCACAATTAACAGGTGATTTGGGACATGCTCCATACCCATGTTTTTCCCCTGCAATAAGGGTGATTTTAGGGCTAGACTGCACTCAGAGCCTGAAGCAAATAGGTTAGGGCTTGTTATTGCTGTAACACATGAGAGTCAAGTCCCTTCTTATTGCTGCCGAAGGTTGTCAGAAGATCAGTGGAAAGAGAGACCTTAGAACTGAGATTTTTAAATGTTGGGACTAAAACCTATGAGCTGGACTATATTCTCTGCAGTTCTGACAGGGAAGACTTCTGCAAGGTATTCCAAGTGTGCAAGCCCAATTTAACAGCCGCTTTCCATGAACAGGGACAGCTGGAACTACTCCACATCTATTATGGTGTAAATGGAACTGGAATGTGGCCTACCACTTATCAGATATTCTCTTCTATGTATTAATTATACACGTAGAAGTTCTGTATTTAGGAATAATCGCAATAATTTGTCACTTTCAGAGAACTGTAATTGCAAACACAACATAATCATTTGTCAGCTGTTTCAGATGGAAAGGAGTAGGCTGAGAGAAGGCAGCAGCCTCTTTGATCACATTTTGATGGGGAAGTCTCTTCATTACAGGTTTGGTTTGTGGACCCTCCTCCCCATCATAACTCTTCAAACATTCTTCATAAGCTGTTTATCCAAAGAGCTCCTGCACTGACTCACCTCAGAAGAAGTCCTCGTAAGAGCAGACATGTGTACTCCATAGACCTCTAAATATGGGACATGCCTTGGGTGATACAGCAGAGGTGTATGATACTTGGCTGCCATGGAGATGAGTACAACAGAAGAGCCTAAATAGAAAAGAACATGTTTTGGTTTGAAACACTGTTGCAATAAAGGTGCATGTTAAATACAGTCGATAGAGTTTCTTGCCAAAACTGAGCATTAATTGTTTAAATTAACACTGTAAGTAACATGCAACTAAAATACTTCCTTTTTTATTTTCCTTGTTTCTTAAAAGAAAACCATAAATAATTGCTTCCTGAGCATCCCCTGGGAAGCACAGTGTCTTCTCCCCAGTGTATCAGCGAGCCTGGTCATAGAATCATAGAATGGTTTGGGTTGGAAGGGAGCTTGAAGACCATCTAGTTCCAACCCCTGCCATAGGTAGGGACACAAGGCATTGCTGGACCACATAGGCATTGCAAGCTGAGGAGGCTTCCAGACCTTTTGGATTTATCTTACTTTGTGCTTTCTCATGAACCTTCTTTTGTCACCAGAGTTGTGCTCAGTGGCATCTTTCTGTTCCCTGGAGAGGTTTGTCACAGACCCTATGTAGGTAACCATTTTTCTTTCTTCAAGCTGTTGAGATTTACCATCATAGTGCAATTCAGCAAGATGGGCATAAGCAAAATGGGAGTTTGCACATCATTTAGGACTGGTCTGGTACTGTGAAGTTTTGGGCAGCTTTGTAGGGGGTGTAAAACATACCACCTCCAGTCTGACCTGGTTTTCGCTGCATGTCTCAGTACACAACCCTGAAGGAGTTTATCAAAGGCCCTTATTTTTCTTATTTCAGAGAGGAGAGTTTCACCCTATTAGTTCCAGAGGTGCCACTTACAAGCCTCAGGGTGTCATACAAAATCAGGTGCATATGTACTTGCATATCGGTAAGCCCCTGCTCTGGGGGGAACTACTTTGGGCCTATAGCTTTATAGAGGGTTTTGAAACAACGTGTTGCATTCAGAGCAGTAATAAGGATCTCTCTCTCCCTAAGGAGAGCCTTCCAATCCCTAACATACTGTGATACTGTGAGAAAAAATAACAATAATTGGTAGAAATGGAGTTGATTTTTCTTAATGATAAAAGAAAGGAAAATTTGGATGAAAGTGATGGATGCTGCCACTCAGTTCTTCTCGTTACAGCAGCCAATGCCTCTTTATGTACTCATCTCATAAAAGTGGCAGAGATATTTAAAAAGAAAAAAAAAGAAATATGCTAAAATTAAAATGGAGAAGAAAAAGTCATTTCACACTTTTAATGGCATAATGAAGTCTTCTTAATGCAATTTTCTTTACTCTTCTGATTACATATTCACAAAGAGGATCTTCACTTCCATCTTTATTACGCACTGTGTTTGTCATCATTACGGGTTAAGTATTTTCATAAACATTTGATAAATATTAACCGTTTAAAATAAAAAATAACAGTTTATTCTCACTGCAATGACTGCTGCACATGAAGATATTACTACTAGAGCAAGTCATATGAACCTACACACCCCTGCAGCCCCATGCCTGTGTACAAGGATGCAGTGCACAGCTGCAAGAAGAGATACAACACAGCAAGTGGACTTGCAAAGCTAGATCCTAGCTAGACCTATAGCCAGGGATTACAGAGATCCCAAAAGACTGCTGAATCTCCCCAGCAGAGACTTGGTGTTACTGGGGCCTTCCTATAGGTCACAAAATAACAGGCTGTTTCTTTGCCACTTTCCCAACATGACTGTACTCTTCCCTTCCCTATGCTTGCAAAGGGCTAACCCAGCCAGGCTTTAGTATAACATCTTATATGTCACCCCTAGCTGGTGCAAATACCCTAACAAACACGTTTTCACACATGGTCTGTTCTCTACAGCAGGGGAATAGCTTTCTAAAACAAACAGTTCCAAAGACAGGGGCAGCAGAAAAAGGAGGAGGAAGGAACACCACAAAGGAAGGTCCAACAAAAAGAGGTTGCCTGGAGCTGGGTAAAAACATAACCTGGTTGATTTGAAGTAGAGCAGAAAAATGCAGATATAGCATTCTGGGTCAAGAAGAGCACTAGTTGGAATGAAATTGTATTTAATTTTGAGCCTTCATTTCTCCTCAGAAAGGTTTTTATTTCTCCACGAGTCATTTCAGAGAAGGGCAACAATCGTGTGCTGCTTAAACATCATCTAAACCTCTTTCTTCCGTCTTTGTTCTCTTTCATTTGAACTTTTATCTATTTCCCTTCCCCAAACAACAGAATAAAAACATCAGTGATGACATCCTAATTTCAAGGCATCACATGAAAGCTCATTTCTGACAGAAGGCTATTATGGCAAAAATACCTGACCTGTTTCTTATCAGAAGACACCTGTGTTCCTTAGTTTACCCAGGGGAAACAGGAGGCAGCTGATACCCTGGGGGCCTTCCCACCTGTAAACCAATTTCAGACAGCAGGCACTGGCTTACTCTTCCTCATCAGTTCCTATGCCAGCGCCAGCTTTCCCCTAGTCTAAGAAACCATAGATCCCCTTATTCTTTTGTTAAAACAAGAGAAATATGCATAAGGCAAAGGGAAAAGGTCCTCTTCCAGAGGCTCTCCCCACCTCCCCAAAGTGCAGAGCAATATTGACACTGCTGTCAAATGTTATTAGAAGGCCCGATGTGGGAAGCAGCAGAGGGTTGCTCTTTGTTGCCTTCCCAGCCATAAACTGGGTCACTTTAATTAAATACTGTAGGTAGGGGATCCAGAGCAGAAGTGTAAAGAGCCCAGAGGCTCAGTTCAGAAGATCCTGACTCAGCCCTGACTGGGGAGGGTTAACAGAAGAATTACTGGTAGATGTTTAATTAGGATTTGAGCGATGGGGATTGAGCATTAGGCTGGGGTTTGTTTAGGGCTCATGTGTGCTTAAGCACAGAGCTAATTTCACATTGAGCTTTGCTGTGTCCTTCCCCAAGCTCAGCCAGCGCCTTGCGGGAGCTGGAGTAAAAGCTCCACCTGGAGACAGCAGGAGCCTGCCTGCTTCCCTGGCTGCTCACAGAGGATGATACTAGAGAGGATTTGCTGGGAAAACAGGGGGCCCAGGAGCGCTCATCCCTGGAATTAGCTCCTTGCTTGCTCCCTGGCTGCAGCCCTGGCTCTTCTATTCCTTCCAGCACTCAGCTCTTCTCATTCCCTGGTCCCATGGGGAGCCGGGCACATACTGTGCGGGAACAGTGAGTAATTGCAGATCTGCAGCAGGGATATGGAGGAGGAGGAGGCTAAGGGAGGAAGGAGAACTGGAGCCAGAGCCTCCTGTCACCCCCTGGCCACCATCCATGGAAGAAGGCTGGTGCCTCAGAGCTACATTTGGACCTGGACCACACGCAGCCTTGCTGCCGGTTACCCAGTGTCACAGGATTACACTGCCCCTCGCATACTGAGCACTTCCAGCATCCTGCAACCTGCTAGTAGTCAACATAGTGCTATCTCCAAACGGAGGAGCTCACTGTTCCCTGCACCTGCACAAAAGGCTTTTCTGAGGAAATAAAATCAGATGTGATTCTCCAGTTTGAGGCTCCTTTTCCAACCCCTTTGTCTAATTTGCATTGTCTCAACTGACTGCTTTCCCAAGAAAGCTGCTGGGGTCACCGGTACAGCAGGACAAACAAGGAGACAAGACATAGCTCCCGGAAACTGCCTACCCATCCTTGTCTGGGATGTATTTGAAATCTTAGTGCTGAGCAGGTATAACGTTTTGGTGCCAGGACTGAGGTGTAAACTGGTATTAAGCCCCAGGGTTCTGGGTTGCTGCAAAGCAAATGGATCCTCTTCTTTCTGGCTAGTGACTTAATAGGGCACGAGGAGTGTTCCCAGTAACTGGAACCCAGCTGTCCACATTGCCAGATTGCTGGTGCAGCCCCTGGCATGGATTTGGCTGAGGCCAGCCAGAAGCATCCCAGAGGACTCCTGGGCACAGCCTGTGATTAAGCATGGGCTGGTGATTCTTTTCTGTAGGCAGCTTGCACACAGCTGCCTTGGTCTGGAGGGAAGGAAAGCTTTGTTACATGGAAGCAGGGCACTGGAAGCCAAGCAGCCTCAATATCAGAGAACTTTCCTGCCACGTATCTAATTCCCTGGTACAGAAATAAGCTTTTTCACTGCAAGTCTGCTCAAGACCACTCAATAGAGACAAGGACAATCCTCTTCCAAGGCAGGCTTTCCTGAGCTGGACTGAGCCCTAGAGGTATAAGATCTTCTCCTGTATTAGGATAAGGGCTTTCAAGCAGGGAGGGAAGAAACAGATCTGGTTGAGTTTAGCAGCAGAACAAATAATCTCAGTCCCTTATGCTGTTAAAAGTGGGTGCTGTAGAGCCTGGGTGGCAAGAATGGACATGACAAGAGGAACATTCAGCTCCAGCTTTCATGCCCATGTCTGGGAAGCAAGGTTCAGTATCTCTAAATAGTCTTAAAGTAGACTGGCTTGTTATTAGTGGAAACCAAGCCCTTGCACGTTATTAGTCAGCAGATGGTATATAAATGTGATGTCAAGAACCAATCTAGCACAACCCATGGCAAGAAGGAGAATGATTAAACAGGGAAATGAAACAGAGCTGAGGAATGTCACAAAAGAGTCAGCACAGAGGGACTCTGATCCCCAGCAGCACAAGGGCTTTAGACCACAAGAAAAATAAGCTTTTCCAAAGAAAAAAAGCACAAAGTGAGTCTGTAAACAGAGCTGACCATGGGGGATAAAGATGAAATGGAAGCAGACTTTTTTACTATCTCAATCAGGGAGAAAAAAGTGACAGGAACTGACTGAGATGCTGAAAAGTGAGTGATATGCTATTGCCAAGAATAATGCTCAAAACGCTGTAACAGCTGATAGAGGTACTGAGCATCATGAACCCAGACAGAATAAGACTTCAGAGACATCTCTCAGTTAAAGTTAAAAACAAACAACAAACTAACTGAAAGCCTTCAACAGGAGAAAAGGGAGCAGACGTTAGTGACGAGAGATCCAGACTCCACAGGCGACTCTGGAGACTGCTGTCAGTGACTCCAGGTGAAAAAGGCAGGTTTGTCCCTCCCCTGGGATACAAATGCAGTAGAGTCTGTCCTT